AGCTCAGCGAGCGAAGCCATCCTGGCCATCCTCCTTCAGTTGCGCACCCTTGTAAACGTAGCCTGGGATGGAGTTGAACTGGACCTGCAATGGTGCTGCTGCTGGCTCCGCAAGGCGTCCTCCCTGCTTCTCCAGCGCCAAAGCAGTTGACTTGGAGAAGCGGGGGTCTGCCACTTCATCGTCAAGCAAGTCCATGATCTTGCCGAAATCCTCGTTCTGCACGTTCTGGCCATTGATGGAGGTCACCACCCAACCACTCTGCACACCGGAAGCAAAGGCCTGGCCCTGAGGGTCACCAGGATATCTTGACTTGGGGATGATCTCCATTGCCATGGCACCCTTCATGCCCTGACCTGGCTGCCAGCGCAGGATACCGAAAGGTCGCTTCTTGAACTCAACTGCGGCTCCAGGTCCACTGGCCTGAGCAGGATCAAAGGGCACGTCAGAGTCCTTTGGCCCGCAGCGCTCCAAGTACTCAGCGCTCACACGGCACGGCACTCGGCTGGTGCGAAGCTGCTGCTGTGGTGTGCCAACGAAGGCCAGGCTGGCCGTGTAAACGGCCGCCACCACACCAAGGACGGGAAGGAGCACTGGGCGGGCCATGGCAACCCAACAGAACACGCGGGAGGAGCGAGATCTCTACTTCTGTGGCCTCAGGTGAGTTTTCAAACGGCAAACGAGTGAAGAATTGACTGGAAAGTTTCAGATCTTGTCTTCAGAGGCCCAATTCTTTTTTCTGATTGCGGCCAACTCTGCAAATCGATGTGACCCACGCTGACACTAGTTCAGCACTTGTTTTGGCTCGGTCGCACCAGCAGTTTGGTCTTCCTCTTGCAGCAACGAAACTACGGCACGTCCAGACTTCCAGCTGCGGCATCTTCAAGCGGCCAGAATATGAAGAAAAGTTGGTGAAACGTTCACCAAATTCAATTGTCCTGGCTACAAAGGATTGCCTACTTGGCTCCAAATTCACTTTATACACATTTTTGTCGGGCTGAGTGTTTTTTTAGTACTAGACACAAATTCAACTAAAATTCTATAGATGGAGCCTTCATCGTTCATAGCGCAACGGGTTCTTCGAGGTCTTAGGCTGGGCCAGGCTTTGCTCTCTGGTGTATGCTTCCTTTTCTGCGTTTGGGTGTGATTTCTTGAGCTGGCCATCTACATACATACTCATACTCATACATAGAATCAACATGATCCGTGGCCAAAAAAGCCTTTTTGGATCGGCCTCCTTTTGTTGTGGAGGTCCCTGATCATCCCGATCCACCCCACTGCCAACTATGGATTGGAAAAAAGAACGAACGGAAGGAGTCGAAGGAGAAGGAATTCAATGGGCAATTCTGAAACCTAGGCCTCAAATCAGGCGAAATCAGGCATCCGCCATCCGCCGAAAGCCGCAGCCCAAAACAGTAGTCCTTAGAGCAAACTCTGGGAGCATTGGAATCAGGCAGTGTGACTAAATCGACTGCACTGAGCACAACACAATCAACACAATCAGCAGACTATGCAGTGTTCAATTCGGCCGACAATACACACAGCACAGGTGGTCTTTGAAAGCTGCGTGATCGAAAGGTTGGCTGAAGTGGAAGCTTCTGCCATTCTCTACGAAAAATG